AAGCTAAGAGAAGCACAGCGAAGCGAAGCGAAGCAAAGCAAAGCGAATCTAAGCTAAGCGAAGTGAAGCTAAGCGAAGCTAAGCGAATCTAAGCGAGCGAAGCAAAGCGAATCTAAGCTAAGCGAAGTGAAGCTAAGCGAATCTAAGCGAAGCTAAGCGAAGCGAAGCAATCTAAGCGATGCTAAGCGAAGCAAAGCTAAGCGAAGCGAAGCAGAGCAAACAGTAGCAAAGAGAAGCGAAGCGAAGAGAAGCGAAGCTAAGCGCAGCTATGCGAAGCGAAGCAAAGCTAAGCGAAGCGAAGTGAAGCTAAGGGAAGCGAACTGAAGCTAAGGGAGGCTAAGCTAAGCGCAGCTATGCGAAGCAAAGCAAGGCAAAGCAAAGCTAAGAGAAGCGAACGGAAGCTAAGGAAAGCGAAGCGAAGCGAAGCTAAGCGAAGCAAAGCAAAGCAATGCGAAGCGAAGCGAAGCTAAGCGAATCTAAACGAAGCTAAGCGAAGCAAAGCGAAGCTAAGCGAAGCTAAGCGAAGAGAAGCGAAGCAAAGCGATGCGAAGCTAAGCGAAGCTAAGCAAAGCGAAGCAAAGCAAAGGTAAGGGAAGCTAAGCGAAGCAAAGCTAAGCGAAGCGAAAGAAAGCTGAGCGAAGCGAAGCGAAGTTAAGCGAATCTAAGCGAAGCTAAGCGAAGCTAAGCGAAGCGAAGCGAAGCGAAGCTAAGCGAAGCTAAGCGAAGCAAAGCGAAGAGAAGCAAAGAGACGCGTAGCGAAGAGAAGCGAAGCTAAGAGAAGAAAAACGAAGCTAAGCGCAGCTATGCGAAGCGAAGCGAAGCGAAGGGAAGCAAAGCAAAGTGAAGCTAAGCGAACTGAAGCTAAGGGAAGCAAAGCGAAGCGAAGCGAAGCTAATCGAAGCTAAGCGAACCTAAGCGAAGCGAAGCTAAGCGAATCTAAGCGCAGCTATGCGAAGCGAAGCAAAGCTAAGCGAAGCTAGGAGAAGCGAACAGAAGCTAAGGAAAGCGAAGCGAAGCAAAGCTAAACGAAGTTAAGCGAATCTAAGCAAAGCTAAGCGAAGCTAAGCGAAAAGAAGCGAAGCGAAGCTAAGCAAAGCGAAGCTAAGCGAAGCAAAGCAACGTTAAGGGAAGCTAAGCGAAGCAAAGCTAAGCGAATCTAAGCGAAGCTAAGCGAAGCAAAGCGAAGCTAAGCGAAGAGAAGCAAAGAGAAGCGTAGCGAGAGAAGCGAAGCTAAGAGAAGCAAAACGAAGCTAAGCGCAGCGATGCGAAGCGAAGCGAAGCTAAGCGAAGCGAAGTGAAGCTAATGGAAGCAAACCGAAGCAAAGAAAGCTAAGGGAAGCTAAGCGAAGCGAAGCAAAGCGAAGCGAATCTAAGCGAACCTAAGCGAAGCAAAGCGAAGCGAAGTGAAGCTAAGCAAAGCTAAGCGAAGCTAAGCGAAGAAGAGCGAAGCAAAGCCAAGCGAAGCTAAACGAAACTAAGCGAAGCGAAGTGAAGCTAAGCGAAGAGAAGCGAAGCTAAGCATAGCGAAGCTAGGTGAAGCAAAGCGAATCTAAGCGAAGCTAAGCGAAGCAAGGCGAAGCGAAGCAAGGTTTAGCAAAGCTAAGCGAAGCTAAGCGAAGAGAAGCGAAGCAAAGCCAAGCAAAGCTAAACGAAGCTAAGCAAAGCTAAGCGAAGCGAAGCGAAGCTAAGCATAGCGAAGCTAAGTGAAGCAACGCGAAGTTAAGCGAAGCTAAGCGAAGCTAAGCAAAGAGAAGCGAAGAGAAGCCAAGCGAAGCCAAGCGAAGCGAAGCGAAGCAAAGCCAAGCGAAGCTAAACGAAGCTAAGCGAAGCAAAGCAAAGCGAAGCTAAGCAAAGCAAAGCGAAGTTTAGCGAAGCTAAGCAAAGCGAAGCAAAGCTAAGCGAAGCATAGCAAAGCGAAGCGAAGCTAAGCGATGCTAAGCGAAGCGAAGGGAAGAGAAGCGAAGCGAAGCCAAGCGAGGCTAAGCGAAGAGAAGCGAAACAAAGCCAAGCGAAGCTAAACGAAGCTATGCAAAGCGAAGCGAAGCGAAGCGAAGCCAAGCAAAGCGAAGCTAAGCGAAGCTAAGAGAAGGGAAGCGAAGCGAAGCGAAGCTAAGTGAAGCAAGGCGAAGCTAAGCAAAGCTAAGGGAAGCGAAGCGAAGCGAAGAGAAGCGAAGAGAAGCGAAGCAAAGCTAAGTGAAGCTAAGTGAAGTGAAGCGAAGCTAAGGGAAGCGAAGCAAAGCGAATCTAAGCGAAGCAAGGCGAAGCTAAGCAAAGCTAGGCGAAGCGAAGCAAAGAGAAGAATAGAGAAGCGAAGCGAAGAGAAGCGAAGCTAATTGAAGCAAAGCAAAGCTAAGCGCAGCTATGCGAAGCAAAGCGAAGCTAAGCAAAGCTAAGCGAAGCTAAGGGAAGCGAAGCAAATCGAAGCTAAGCAAAGCGAAGAGAAGCGAAGACAAGCGAAGGGAAGCTAAGTGAAGCAAAGCGAAGCTAAGCGAAGCGAAGCGAAGCGAAGAAAAGCATAGAGAAGCGAAGCTAAGAGAAGCACAGCGAAGCTAAGCGAAGCAAAGCAAAGAGAATCTAAGCTTAGCGAAGTGAAGCTAAGCGAAGCTAAGCGAATCTAAGCGAGCGAAGCAACGCAAATCTAAGCTAAGCGAAGTGAAGGTAAGCGAATCTAAGCGAAACTAAGCGATGCAAAGCAATCTAAGCGAAGCTAAGCGAATCAAAGCTAAGCAAAGCTAAGCGCAGCTATGCGAAGCGAAGCGAAGCTAAGCAAAGCTAAGCGAAGCTAAGGGAAGCGAACTGAAGCTAAGGGAAGCAAAGCAAAGCTAAGTGAAGCGAAGCAAATCGAAGCTAAGCGAAGCGAAGAGAAGCGAAGACAAGCGAAGCGAAGCTAAGTGAAGCAAAGCGAAGCTAAGCGAAGCGAAGCGAAGCGAAGAAAAGCATAGAGAAGCAAAGCTAAGAGAAGCACAGCGAAGCTAAGCGAAGCTAAGCGAAGCAAAGCAAAGTGAATCTAAGCTAAGCGAAGTGAAGCTAAGCGAATCTAAGCGAGCGAAGCAATGCGAATCTAAGCTAAGCGAAGTGAAGCTAAGCGAATCTAAGCAAAGCTAAGCGATGCGAAGCAATCTAAGCGAAGCTAAGCGAATCAAAGCTAAGTGAAGCGAAGCCAAGCGAACAGAAGCAAAGAGAAGCGAAGCGAAGAGAAGCAAAGCTTAGCGCAGCTATGCGAAGCGAAGCAAAGCTAAGCGAAGCGAAGTGAAGCTAAGGGAAGCGAACTGAAGCTAAGGGACGCTAAGCTAAGCGCAGCTATGCGAAGCGAAGCAAGGCTAAGCGAAGCTAAGAGAAGCGAACGGAAGCTAAGGAAAGCGAAGCGAAGCGAAGCTAAGCGAAGCAAAGCAAAGCAATGCGAACGAAGCGAATCTAAGCGAAGCTAAGCGAAGCGAAGCAAAGCTACGCGAAGCTAAGCGAAGAGAAGCGAAGCGAAGCTATGCGAAGCTAAGCGAAGCTAAGCAAAGCGAAGCAAAGCAAAGTTAAGGGAAGCATAGCGAAGCAAAGCTAAGCGAAGCGAAAGGAAGCTAAGCCAAGCGAAGCGAAGTTAAGCGAATCTAAGCGAAGCTAAGCGAAGCAAAGCGAAGCTAAGCGAAGCTAAGCGAAGCTAAGCGAAGCTAAGCGAAGCTAAGCGAAGCTAAGCGAAGCTAAGCGAAGCTAAGCGAAGCTAAGCGAAGCTAAGCGAAGCTAAGCGAAGCTAAGCGAAGCTAAGCGAAGCAAAGCGAAGAGAAGCAAAGAGAAGCGTAGCGAAGAGAAGCGAAGCTAAGAGTAGAAAATCGAAGCTAAGCGCAGCTATGCGAAGCAAAGGGAAGCGAAGTGAAGCGAAGCAAAGCAAAGCTAAGCGAACTGAAGCTAAGGGAAGCGAAGCTAAGCGAAGCAAAGCGAAGCGAACCGAAGCTTAGCGAAGCGATGCGAAGCTAAGCGAAGCTAAGCGAAGCGAAGCTAAGCGAATCTAAGCGCAGCTATGCGAAGCCAAGCAAAGCTAAGGGAAGCGAAGTAAAGCTAAGGGAAGCGAAGCGAAGCTAAGCTAAACGCAGCTATGCGAAGCGAAGCAAGGCTAAGCAAAACTAGGAGAAGCGAACAGAAGCTAAGGAAAGCGAAGCTCAGCAAAGCGAAGCAAAGCTAAGCGAATCCAAGTGAAGCTAAGCGAGCGAAAAGAAGCGAAGCGAAGCTAAGCAAAGCGAAGCTAAGCGAAGCAAAGCAACGTTAAGGGAAGCTAAGCGAAGCGAAGCTAAGCGAATCTAACCGAAGCTAAGCGAAGCAAAGCGAAGCTAAGCGAAGAGAAGCAAAGAGAAGCGTAGCAAGAGAAGCGAAGCTAAGAGAAGCAAAACGAAGCTAAGCGCAGCTATGCGAAGCGAAGCGAAGCTAAGCGAAGCTAAGCGAAGCGAAGTGAAGCTAATGGAAGCAAACCGAAGCAAAGAAAGCTAAGCGAAGCGAAGCGAAGCGAATCTAAGCGAAGCAAAGCGAAGCGAAGCGAAGCGAAGCGAAGCTAAGCGAAGAGAAGCGAAGCAAAGCCAAGCGAAGCTAAACGAAGCTAAGCGAAGCGAAGCGAAGCTAAGCATAGCGAAGCTAGGTGAAGCAAAGCGAATCTAAGCGAAGCTAAGCGAAGCAAAGCGAAGCGAAGCGAAGCTTGTTGTGTGATGTCATCATATGCTATCACATTCTGTCTGCCTCCCATCTTTTGTTTCAATTCGTATGTATGGTTTGACTCTGTGTGAAAGAATTTGTGTGTGGTGTGTTCTGGAGTTTGGGAATGTGTTTTGTGTTATTCTGTCTGAGCAGGTATTTGTGATGATAGAATTTCGGATTTATATTTTGAGTAATTCTAGCTCCTAAGTTCACCTAGACTCCGTCCTTAATCCTAACAAGTGGTATCAGAGCGATATTAAGGACATTGAGAGGAGTCTACAGAAGTTTTGAAGACCCTTCTAGACCCACCATGGCCTGTGGGTGTGCCTAAGTGGTGTTCTAAAGGTTGGATGTGTCTTCCGCTAAGGGGAAACTCTGTCGAAATTTCGTGGACGCCGATACTTGTGAAAATATCGAGGGAGCTGAGTGTGGACAGCAAAGGGGAGCTGAAACTCGTCATTTCTCAAGGAGAAGATGAATGAGAGAGGAGGAGATGCTAATGGGAGAGGAGCTGTACCTGAAAAGACAAGTGAGCCGCCGCCATCAAAAGTTGAAGCTTTGGATGGCTCCAATTATGAGGAAAGGAGCGGTCGGATGAGGAGTGCCTTCAAACGCTACAAGCTCCTGAAGATTGCTGTTGGGAAAGAGAAGATGCCGGAAGAAGGCGAAGCACGCGAACGGTGGATTGAGAAAAGCGCGGTGCTTTTCGACCTCATCCTTCAATCGGTCAACAAGGAGATGTTCGAGCACATCAAGGATCTTGTGGAAGCGGATGATTCGGGTCCAAGGGCGTGGAAACTACTACGCGATGTGATTCAGCCCAACACTCTTCCGATGGTGATCGTGCTCGAGAAGGAACTTGCTGCCATCTCCATGCGACCAGGGGACGATGTGAAGCCGGTCCTTGACAAGATCAAGGACACCTATGCAAGGATGGCAGCAGCGGGCAGCAGTGTATCTCAGCTGCAGCAGTGCACCAAGATCATCTCGGTGTTGGACAACTCTTGGGACAACCTCATCCCCACCCTCAACTCTCAGCAAGATCAATGGACACCTGAGTGGCTAAGGCAGCAGATTCTGCAGGAGGACTTCCGCAGACGCCATGTGGGAGGTGGTGCTTCCACTAAGACTGCTGAGGGGTATGGAGCTGCAGGGCGCGGCAGAGGAAGAGGGGGTTGGAGAGGCCGAGGCCGTGGGAGGAGCTTTGGCAGAGGTAGTGGCCGAGGTGACTATAATGAGGGGCATGGGAGCTCTAGTGGCAAGGGGAGTACCAGAATGGAGGGCACCTGCTGGTACTGCAAGAAGGTCGGGCATCCTTGGTTTAAGTGCTTCAGCAGGCCGGAGGGATGGGCACCTCCAGGCATGAAGCCGCCCAGTGGTGAACGCGCACAAGGTGGCGCTGTGCAAGGCTCAGGTGCACAAGGTGAAGGTGCACAAGGTAATACCTATTCTGGGATGTTTCTCATGGTTGAGGATGTGCATAGGCATGAGGGTGATGTGGGATCTGTGGGAAAGGTTGTGATGCACCCTCTCACGCACTGGGTGATTGATTCAGGTTGCACCAGTCACATGACCCCACGGGCAGATTTGCTTGATGAGGTAAAACCCCCTGGGAAGATTAAGTATGTGGCAGCAGTGTCAGGTGCTTTGCTCCCTGTCATTGGTGTTGGGAATGCCAAGGTTAAGGGAGCTAATGGGGAACTTGTGGGGCTTGGGAATGTTCTGCTGGTTGAAGGTTTGTCTGCTAACCTTCTCTCTGTGCGACGACTGCAGAAGAGCAAGGCCGAAGTGACCTTTGGACGAACCAGCTGCCGTGCTAAGCTTGGGAAGAAGGTGCTGTGGAGTCTGGAAGAGGAGAGCAGCTGCATCAAGGATCTGTGGCAGCTGCCCATCATCCCTTGGAATAGGAAGACTCCAACAGCAGCAACGGCAGCAGCGGCAAAGGCAACAGAAGGAGGAGATGCAACTGCACCAACTGATGGGGTCCTGGAAGCAGTCAAGAATGTGCAGCAGCAGCAGACACTTGGCGAGGTGCTTGCTGGTGTGGATGCGAGCGCGGCATGGGCCAAGGCTTCATCTAGGAGTGGTGGGGCCAATTGGGAGACATGGCATGAGAGGCTGTGTCATGTGAACTTCCCTATGCTGCAGAAGTTGGTGAAGGATGGGAGCCTGAAAGGCTTGGAGGTGAAAGGGGGAGTGAAGGAGATTGGGAGCTGCCCTACATGCTTGGAGACCAAGTTCTCCAAGTTCCCCTTCAACAGCACTACAGGACCAGCCAAGATCCCACTTGCACTTGTGCACATGGATGTGGTGGGGCCCACAAGAGCCCTTTCCCTCTCAGGCAGCCGCTATTTCTTGACAATTGTGGATGACCACACTCGGGCAGTGTGGGTTTACCCTTTGAAGAGCAAGGAGGAGGTGGCAGCGGCTGTCCTTAAGGAGTGGATGCCTAGAGCTCAGAGGGAATGCGGACACAAGGTGAAGGTGATCCGCAGTGACAATGGTGGGGAGTTCATTGGAGCTGATTTTGAGGGGGAGTTGAAGAGGAAGGGGATCCAGCATCAACTGACAGTGCCCTACAACCCGCAGCAGAATGGCGTGGCTGAGAGGTTCAAAAGGACCCTGCAGGAGGGGGCACGCACTCTCCTTGGGCGTGCAGGGCTGCCTGATCCGTTTTGGGTGTCTGCACTGAGGCAGGTCACCCTTGTGAAGAATAGGGTGCTGGCTACAGTTGGGGAGAAGGAGTGGATCCCATATACCAAGTGGTATGGGAGTGCTCCAGCTGTGAACATGCTGAGGGCATTTGGGTGCATGGTGGTGTTTCATGTGCCTAAGGAGAAAAGGGGGAAGTTGGAGGCTTCTGGAAGATGGGGTGTGCACTTAGGGATTGCAAAGGATCACAAGGGATGGCTGCTATGGGACTTGACCACCCAGAAGCTAACAGTGTCAAGGGATGTGAAGTTTCTTGAGTCCCTGTACTACAAGGAATGGAAGCAGCAGCAACAAAAGCTTCCATCTACACCACTCATTGTGGAGGCAGATGAGTTGTAGCAGCCTTCAAGGCAAGTGGAGGTTGCAGTGTCTGAGGAGGAGATGTCTGGGGTGACTGAAGAAGGGGGAGCAGCTGAAGTGGAGCAGCAGCAGCAACAACATGAGTCTCCACCTCGCGTTCCACACCCGCCTGAGCAACCTAGGAGGGATGTGCGCCCTCCGGTGAGGCTGACCTATGGGGGAAGAGGCAAGCCGAATGTGGTGCAGGCTGGGAGTGTGGTTGAGCAGATTGAGGAAGATGAGATCGCTCACTGCTACTGGGCACCAATCCCTGAGCCCAAGACTCGAGAGGAGGCTTTGAATGGACCAAATGGGGAGAAGTGGAAGGCGAGTGAGGATGAGGAGTTCGGGTCCCTAATTGAGAACGAGACATGGGACCTGTGTGACTTGCCTCCTGGAAAGAAGGCAATCACTTCCAAGATGATCTACAGGCACAAGTATGGACCTGAAGGGGAGCTGATCCGCTACAAGTCTAGGCTTGTGGCACGGGGGTTTCAGCAGACAAAGGGGAAGGACTATGATGAGGTGTTTGCTCCTGTGGGGAAAGGAACAACACTGAGGGTGCTGTTGGCGATAGCTGCACTCCTGGGATGGAAGATTCGGCAGATGCATATTGTGACTGCCTTTCTGAATGGGATCATTATGGAGGAGGTGTACATGAAGCAGCCAGAGGGGCTGGATGACGGGAGCGGCAGGGTCTGCAGGCTGAAGAAGGCCATCTATGGCCTTAAGCAGGCGCCTCGTGCATGGTATCACAAGTTGGAGGAGGCGCTGCTGGCTGGGGGTTTTAAGAAGAGTGAGTGTGACCCCAGCCTGTTCCTGCTGCAGGAGAAGGATGAAATCCTCATGCTCCTGGTGTACGTGAATGATATCCTTCTCTTCTCTGCATCAACTGCTTTGCTGGACAGCGCAGAGCAGATGCTGGAGATGCAGTTCAAGTGCTCCAAGATGGGTGAGGTGAAGTACTACTTGGGGATGCATGTGGAGAGAGATGTGGAAAAGGGTGTGCTGAGGTTGCACCAAAGGAAGTACTGTGAGGGGCTGGCTGAGAAGTATGGGCTGCAAGATGGGGGAAAGCCAGCAACACCACTACCTTTAGGGTTTACTGTGGAGCCATGTGCTGATGAGGAGGTAGTGGGTGAGAGTGACAGGAAGCTGTCTCATTCGATGGTTGGGTCACTGAACTATGCTGCAAATCATACACGGCCTGACATTGCATTTGCTACATCACGGTTGGCTAGTGTGGTCTCACGCCCTAGTCATGAGCAGCTGGAAGCGGCCAAGAGGTTGGTCCGCTATGTGAGTGCTACGGCATCAGTGGGATTGGAGTACAGTGGAGTGAGGCAGCGGTTGCAGAGAGGTGCTGCAGATGTGAAGAGTGGAGAGATGCTCTTGAGTTGCTATACTGACGCTAGCTTCAACTCAGTGAAAGCGGATGGCACCAGCATTGGGGGTTATGTGTGCTTGCTAGGAGGTGGTGCTGTGAGCTGGCGCAGCAAGAAGCAGAATGAGGTGGGATTGTCCTCATGTGAGACTGAGTACATGGCCTTACACCATTGGGTCAAGGAAGTGGTGTGGCTGAGGCGCTTGTTGGAGGAGTTGGGAGTTGGTCAGGAGGAGCCGACAGTTGTGTTCTGTAACAATGAGTCTGCAGTGAAGCTAGCCAAGAATGCTTGTCTGCATGGGCTAACAAAAGACATAAGGCCTAAGTGGCATTGGGTGAGGAGACTCCTTGATAAGGAGGTGCGGCTAGAGATAGTGAAGACCCATCAGCAGGCAGCAGATATTTTCACTAAGCGTCTGGCGGAGGCGGATCATTGGAAGGGCATGAAGCTTGCTGGGATGAGTGTGCATTGAGTATGCATGCTTGAGATGTTGGTATGGTGGATGATGGTTGGCAGCCAGAGAGGGAGATTGTTGTGTGATGTCATCATATGCTATCACATTCTGTCTGCCTCCCATCTCTTGTTTCAATTCGTATGTATGGTTTGACTCTGTGTGAAAGAATTTGTGTGTGGTGTGTTCTGGAGTTTGGGAATGTGTTTTGTGTTATTCTGTCTGAGCAGGTATTTGTGATGATAGATCTTGAGAAGATCTTTCCGACGCAACAAGAATCGCTTCAATCGGAGCAAGAACGCGAAAGCTATGAAGATTCAAAGTTCATGAGCTTGCGTTACAATTGCGGCGGTTACAAAGTGAAGTTGTGGGGTGACTTTATATGGAGTTGGGACCTTGGGGGTTGGGGAAATTTGTCACTCTACTGTAACAGCTGCAAATTGGTTGGGAACAACCAAGCTAGGTTGGCAAGGGTGGCCAACTTGGATGGATTGGTTGGGAAGGGACAAATGTCAAAGTTGGGGTTCCTATAGGGGGGGAATCTTTGTGATAATGGGGTTTCCTTGGTTGGGGACTCTCTTGGGACCTTCCCTCTCATCCCTCTCTTTCTATCCCAACCTTTCTCTTGCTCCTCTAATTCCTTGTGAGATTCTTGAACTTTGATTAAACTTTTGAGATTGAGTTAAGTTCTCCTCCTACAGCTTACCCCCTAGTGCGTCGAAAGCCATAGCGTCGCGAATACTTCATTAATCAACGTGGTTCGAATTGGGAACGGTAGCTGAGCTTAAGAGCTACAACATATCCAAGTTTCGCGACATTCCAACGGCTAGATTTTTGTCGACGTCGTTTCTTGTGAGGACGACTTTTCTGTCCAGAATTTCGGATTTATATTTTGAGTAATTCTAGCTCCTAAGTTCACCTAGACTCCGTCCTTAATCCTAACAAAGCTAAGCAAAGCTAAGCGAAGCTAAGCGAAGAGAAGCGAAGCAAAGCCAAGCGAAGCTAAACGAAGCTAAGCAAAGCTAAGCGAAGCGAAGCGAAGCTAAGCATAGCGAAGCTAAGTGAAGCAACGCGAAGTTAAGCGAAGCTAAGCGAAGCTAAGCGAAGAGTAGCGAAGAGAAGCCAAGCGAAGCCAAGCGAAGCGAAGCGAAGCAAAGCCAAGCGAAGCTATTCGAAGCTAAGCGAAGCGAAGCGAAGCTAAGCAAAGCGAAGCTAAGAGAAGCTAAGCAAAGCTAGGCGAAGCTAGGCGAAGCGAAGCAAAGAGAAGCAAAGAGAAGCGAAGCAAAGCTAAGCGAAGCAAAGCAAAGCTAAGCGAAGCAAAGCGAAGCTTAGCAAAGCTAAGAGAAGCAAAGCGAAGCAAGGCGAAGCTAAGCGAAGCTAAGGGAAGCGAAGCGAAGAAAAGAGAAGCGAAGCAAAGCTAAGCGAAGTGAAGCAAAGCAAAGCTAAGCGAAGCTAAGCAAAGCGAAGCTAAGCGAAGCGAAGCAAAGAGAAGCTAAGCGAAGCTAAGTGAAGCGAAGCTAAGCGAAGCGAAGCTAATCGAAGCTAAGCAAAGATAGGCGAAGCTAGGCGAAGCGAAGCTAAGAGAAGCAAAGAGAAGCGAAGCAAAGCTAAGCGAAGCAAAGCGAAGCTTAGCGAAGCTAAGAGAAGCAAAGCGAAGCAAGGCGAAGCTAAGCGAAGCTAAGGGAAGCGAAGCGAAGAGAAGAGAAGCGAAGCAAAGCTAAGCGAAGTAAAGCAAAGCGAAGCCAAGCGAAGCTAAGCGAAGCGAAGCGAAGCTAAGCGAAGCGAAGCTAAGCGAAGCTAAGGGAAGTGAACCAAAGCTAAGGGAAGCGAAGCGATGCGAAGCTAAGCGAAGCCAAGCGAAGTAAAGCGAAGCGAAGAAAAGCGAAGAGAAGCGAAGCGAAGCTAATTGAAGCGAAGCGAAGCGAAGAGAAGCATAGAGAAGCGAAGCAAAGAGAAGCGAAGCTAAGAGAATCAACGCGATGCTAAGCGCAGGAATGCGAAGGAAAGCGAAGCTAAGAGAAGCGAAGCTAAGGGAAGAGAACCAAAGCTAAGGGCAGCAAAGTGAAGCGGAGCGAAGCGAAGCGAAGAAAAGCGAAGCTAAGCGAAGCTAAGAGAAGCGAAGCGAAGCTAAGAGAAGCTAAGCGAAGCTAAGCGAAGCTAAGCGAAGCTAAGCGAAGCGAAGCGTAACTAAGCGAAGCGAAGTGAAGGTAAGCGAAGGGAAGGGAAGGTAAGCGAAGCGAAGCGAAGCTAAGCGGAGCTAAGCGAAGCGAAGCGAAGCGAAGCGAAGCGAAGCTAAGCGAAGCGAGGCTAAGCGGAGCGAAGCGAGGCTAAGCGAAGCGAACAAGAAGCTAAGCGAAGCGAAGCAAATAGGAAGCTAAGCGAAGCTAATCGAAGCAAAGCGACGCGAAGCGAAGCGAAGCGAAGTGAAGCTAAGCGAAGCGAAGCTAAGGGAAGCAAAGCGGAGCGAAGCAAAGCGAAGCTAAGGGAAGTGAAGAGAAGCGAAGAAAAGCGAAGAGAAGCGAAGCAAAGCTAAGCGATGCTAAGCAAAGTGAAGCGAAGCTAAGGGAAGCGAAGCAAAGCAAAGCTAAGCGAAGCGAAGCTAAGGGAAGCGAAGCGAAGCTAAGCGAAGCTAGGCGAAGCAAAGCAAAGAGAAGCAAAGAGAAGCGAAGCGAAGCAAAGCGAAGCTAAGCGAAGCAAAGAGAAATAAAGCGAAGCAAGGCGAAGCTAAGCGAAGCTAAGAGAAGCGAAGCGAAGCGAAGAGAAGCGAAGCGAAGCGAAGCGAAGCGAAGCTAAGCGAAGTGAAGTAAAGCGAAGCTAAGCGAAGCGAAGCAAAGCGAAGCTAAGCGAAGCGAAGCTAAGCGAAGCTAAGCGAAGCTAAGCGAAGCTAAGCGAAGCTAAGCGAAGCGAAGCAAAGAGAAGCAAGGAGAAGCAAAGCGAAGAGAAGCGAAGCTAAGAGAACCAAAGCAAAGCTAAGCGCAGCTATGAGAAGCGAAGCGAAGCTAAGCGAAGCTAAGGGAAGGGGACCAAAGCTAAGGGAAGCGAAGCGAAGCCAAGCGAAGCGAAGAGAAGCGAAGAGAAGCGAATCGAAGCGAAGCGAAGCTAAGTGAAGCAAAGCGAAGCTAAGCAAAGCGAAGCGAAGCGAAGAGAAGCGTAGAGAAGCGTAGCGAAGTGAAGCAAAGCTAAGAGAATCAAAGCGAAGCTAAGCGCAGGTATGCGAAGCGAAGCGAAGCTAAGGGAAGCGAACCGAAGCTAAGGGAAGCAAAGCAAAGCTAAGCAAAGCGAAGCGAAGCTAAGCGAAGCATAGTGAAACGAAGCAAAGCTAAGTGAAGCGAAGCGAAGCAAAGAAAAGCGAAGCGAAGCGAAGCGAAGCGAAGCTAAGCGAAGCTAAGAGAAGCGAAGCGAAGCTAAGAGAAGCTAAGCGAAGCTAAGCGAAGCGAAGGGAAGCTAAGGGAAGCAAAGGGAAGGTAAGCAAAGCAAAGCGAAGGTAAGCGAAGCGAACCGAAGGTAAGCGAAGCGAAGCGAAGCTAAGCGAAGCTAACCGCAGCTATGCAAAGCTAAGCGAAGCTAAGTGATGTGAAGCAAACAGGAAGCTTAGCGAAGCGAAGCGAAGCTAATCGAAGCGAAGCGAAGCAAAGCTAAGGGAAGCTAAGGGGAGCGAAGCGAAGGGAAGCAAAGCGAAGCGAAGCTAAGCGAAGCTAAGGGAAGAGAAGTGAAGAGAAGTGAAGAGAAGCAAAGAGAAGCGAAGCGAAGCAAAGCTAAGCGAAGCGAAGCAAAGCTAAGCGAAGCAAAGCTAAGCGAGGCTAAGCGAAGCGAAGCGAAGCAAAGGGAAGCAAAGCGAGGCTAAGCGAAGCGAAGCGAAGCTAAGCAAAGCAAATCGAAGAGAAGCGCAAAGAAGCGAAGATAGGCGAAGCGAAGCGAAGCTACGCGAAGCAAAGCAAAGCTAAGCAAAGCTAAGCGAAGCGAATCTAAGCAAAGCTACGCGAAGCGAAGCGAAGCTAAGCGAAGCAAAGCGAAGCAAAGCGAAGCAAAGCAAAGCTAAGCGAAGCTAAGCAAAGCGAAGCGAAGAGAAGCGAAGAAAAGCAAAGCGAAGCTATGCGAAGTGAAGCGAAGCTATTAGAAGCGAAGTGAAACGATGCAAAGCTAAGCGAAACAAAGCAAAGCTAAGCGAAGCGAAGCGAAGCTAAGAGAAGCTAAGCGAGGCGAAGCGAAGCGAAGAGAAGCATAGAGAAGCGAAGCAAAGAGAAGCGAAGCTAAGAGAATCAAAGCGAAGCTAAGCGCAGGTATGCGAAGCGAAGCGAAGCTAAGCTAAGCTAAGGGAACCGAAGCAAAGCTAAGGGAAGCGAAGCAAAGAGAAGCGAAGAGAAGCGAAGCGAAGCGAAGCTAAGCGAAGCAAAGCAAAGCTAAGCGAAGCGAAGCGAAGCGAAGCGAAGCTAAGAGAAGTTTAGCGAAGCGAAGCGAAGCTAAGCAAAGTGAAGCAAGCCTAAGCGAAGCGAACACGAAGCTAAGCTAAGCTAAGCAAACAAGATCCTAAATTAAAAAACAGGTTGCTGTTTGGTGGGGTACCACTCAAGAACTTGGACATGCGAAAACGCTCGAGATACCCTAACTTCCCACACACCTGGGTTTTGCATCCGAGCACAGGCCAGCATGCTCTTGAGCCCATACACTAACCATGCATGCAAAAAGCAAGAAGTTTGAGCACGCTCAATAGCAAGATAACCAAGTCGAGGTCTCGTAGGAAAATGCTCAAGAACTGGAAAAAGGAACACATACAATACCATTACTTTTTGCACACTTAGGTTTTGGATCTGAGCACAAGCCATGATTATCTTGAGCCCATGCACTAACTGTTCATGCAAAACAAGGGCTTAGAAAATGCTTTGTATCTGAAAAACAAAATGAAAAGTTGAGGTTTTGTTGGGCAATGCTCAAGTGTTTAGTTGTGGGACAATAGTTGACATACTATAACTTCCCAACCACTTGGATTTTGGATCTGAGCACAAGCCATGATGCTCTTGAGGCCATACACTAGCTATGTATGCAAAGGGAAAGAGTTTTAGTGAACAAGATCCTAAATGAAAAAACAGGTTGTTGTTTGGTG